CACATTATATTTAAAACTGCCTAATATTTACGTTTCTTGATTATTTTATTTATTTGGTATTTTTCTAGTACATGACATTGACATTGTCATTGTACTTCACAATGTAATTAACAAATACAAATGCTTTCTAGAAACTTTTATACGTTATCTATTTCGAAAATATCTAAGGATATAATGTGTATATGTTTCAGACCTTGACTCTATTGTTGAATGCATGGATATATATTTTTTAATGTATACATGTTTTGTGGTGTTGACTGTACATGAATTCGAGCGGATTTTGACCTTTTGTATGAACGAATAGTTTAAAATAGATATAGGTTTAAAGTAAGTAAAATAACTTAATACGAGTATTGTTGTGTAAAAATTGGGTTTAAAAATATATAACCCAACAAATAGAGGATGCTTTAGTCTTTAGCTATTTCAGATGGGTTACATTTAAAACCTTCAGTTTTAATTGTCGAACTGTGCAGTTAAAACTGATGGTATTTAGCCATCGTTATATCTATATCTATACTATTATAATAAAGCGTAAATACACACTTCTTTGTTTCCTAAGATGTCAGCAATTATAGCATATTTATGAATAATTCTTTCTTTAATAAAAAGCCTTACACTTAGGTCACGCTTTAGGCTATATATTTTCTCGCCATTGAACTTAGGGGGTAAATATTTTGGATAAAAACCCTAATGTGGGAAAGAGACCATAAGTTGCTGCCAACATCAAGGAAGCAAGGTTGCCGTGGTTTGTCATCGTCATATCATTTTGACATTTGCAATTGATAATTTGACACATGTAAACGATAAAATAAAATTTTCACAATTTTATGCGGATGAAGTCGCACGGGAACAGCTAGTTTATTATCTCAAGGATCAATTGTTTTTAATGGTTTATCAACAATGTAATTATTATCCTCAGACTTCTACAATAAATGGAGATTCCTAGAACATGTTCTTAATTAAGATTTTCTTGGAAAATCATATGACAATCATTACTGTACGTACTTTAGTGGGAGTGTAACTCGCACGAGGTATAGTGCGATTGATTTGTCTGGCCCGATAGAGGATGACACTTGGTTTTGTCAAACCACTGGCTGGTATAGGCTCAGATAGCTTAAAAGTGACGTCACTGTCGGATAGAGTACGAAAATGAGATATTTCCATCACATTTTATATGTTGGATTGTTATCTGAGAATTTATATAATTGTGGGACAGGCCCTTATTGTCATATATCCTCGAAGTAGGGCAGAGCGCGTCCTATTGGGACGCAACGAGGGCCCCTTCCCGGGGCGGTCAGTGGGGTGTTGCGGTGGCAAGCAAGACCATAAGTTGCTGCCAACTTCGAGGTATCAAGGTTGCCATGGTTTGAGATTATGTCATGTCATTTGGACATTTGCAATTGATAATGTGACAAATGTAAACAATAAAATGAAATTTTATAATTTTATGCGCATGAAGTCGCATGGGACAGCTAATTCTTAATATTACCAGAAAACCGCGACTGTCAACGCCAACATGGCTAAATACAAATTAACACAAAATGTTAGTCTTATAGCCTGTCCACTGGTTTGTAACGATTTATGGCATTGACATTGACAAAAGGCGTGATCTATTATAGTGCAACTCACCGGGTCAGATAAGTTGTCCGTACTTTTGTGGTCCGCCTGCGCAGACAGCGCGGCGGCCCGGTTTCTGTTGTCAGTGTTGCCTTGACTCAGCCACCGTTTTAGAATATGTGTTGTTTAGTTACGTAATAACTGGAATACTGAAATATGACAGTGGACAATGACAGACAGTGACCAGAAAAAATACAGACGAATTGAGTACCTCCTTTTGGGAAGTCGGTTAAAAAACGCTCTCAAATTTAGTAATTTTAATTCCATTTCACCTTTAAGATAATGTAAAGAAGACGAGGAAGGGGAAATATCCTCTTTATGTGCGTCTCCGTTGATTAAGGGGAGGCGTCTATTCAGTCGCTTTGACATTTCAGCGTTTGCTCGTTTGCCATCTTAATATAAAAAAAATACCACGACCACACAGATGCTAGTGGAAGTCATTCCTACACACTGATTTTAGAAGTCTAATTTGAGTTACGTTCCATCCTTTTATATACAAGGAAAGGATGTGAAGGGGACGTGAGTTTAAGGAATGGGTTGTATGGGGGATTTTTTTTCTGTACCCTTCCACTGATACGCGGTTGCATCGCTAATATAGCGGATTACAATGGCTGCTTGCTTTGTTAACCTTTGACTTTGAAAAACCACTAGCTGTTTCCGTGCGGCTTCATCCGCATGAAATTATGAAAAACGAGCTGTTGCCCGCGACTTCGTCCGCGTGGTATTCGAAGTCATAAAAAATATATAAATTACAAAAAGCTACGTATCCCGGGAACCGGACATTTCTCGGGGATGAAGCTTATCCCATGTGTACTCCAGACTTTATTTTATATCTGTGCCAAATTTCAATAAGATATCTTGAACCGTTGCAGAATGATCGAGTAAACATTAAAAAACTAAATTAATGAATCCCACGGGAACCGTAACTATTCCCGGGATAAAAAGTAGCCTATGTGTTCTTCCAGACTATGCTCTAAACCTGTGCCAAATTTCATGGAGATCCGTTCAGCCGTTTAGGCTACAAACGCTAACAAACATCCATCCATCCATCTATCTAAACTTTCGCATTTATAATATTAGTAAGATTTATTTTGTTATTTACATTTGTCAAATGATCAATAACAAATGTCAAAATGATATGACATGATAAACCTTAGCAATCTTGCTTTCTTGTTGGCAGCAACTTATGATCTCTTTCCGACATTAGGGTATTTGTCAAAAATATTTACACGAAGTTTAATGTCGTGAAAATATGTAGCCTAAAGCGTGACGTAAGTGTAGGGCTTTTTATTTAAAAAAGAATTATTCAAAAATATGCTGTAATTGCTGACATCTTAGGCAACAAAGAAGTGTGTGTTTACGCTTTATTATAATAGTATAGATTACAACCTATGTTTGTCATGTTTCTTTCTGTTGAATTTTGTGAACATGTTTCTGTAAATGTTTTATGCTTGTTCCTACTGTAATATTACATCATGCGGTAGTTAATTATTGGTAGTAATTATTATTAATTGGCCACCGTAATGTTGGTAATCCGTCAGGCCATCTGGTGTGTGTCATCACACGCGATCTTCACATTCAATGTACTATGCCACCGAATGATTGTGAATTTAGATAATGTATAAAACGACTAAGTATTGACATTACTATTCGACACATTTTAAACTAAAAACTTTAACTAGCTGGTCCTCGCGACTTTGTCCGCGTAAAAAAAATGACAGACTTTATTCAGAGTTAACGTAGCTTTTTAATGATGAGTTTTTAAAATCGGCCGAGTAGTTTTTGAGTTATTTTAATACATACGAAAATACAAATCTTTCCTCTTTATAATGTTTATGTAGATTTGCTGTTCTTCGCGATTTCCTCTTCGTGAAAGAATTTTTAAAATAGGCCCTGTATTTTTTACGTGAATCAAATTCATACAAAAACACAAATTGTTCTTTATAACATTGGTATAGAATATTATGTTTAAATGACTAGCTTTTGCTCATGACTTTACGCGGAAGAAAAAAAATATTAGCATTTGTGTTTTTTTAAGTAAATAACATATTATGCTTTTACTGTTTTTTTTTAATATCACGTAGACGAAGTTGCGCACAACAGCTTAACGTTATAGTTTATTAGAGCCAGCTAGACTGGGACATGATCGTAAATCCAGTGGCATATGATGTCATCTAGATCTCCCGACCTAGATGCTAGATCTAGATTTTATTATGCATTTCAAACGACATAAAAGATATGATAAGTACAGTTAGAGAATTTGTCGGTGCAACACTTTAAAAACTAACGCAACTTACGAAAAAACGTAAGTGGCATCCAGTCAATTGCTTTTTGTTATTATTCTGTTGTTTTAATAATTCACTGCTACCTGAATAGTTTTTTCTAAGAATAGGCTGAGTTTGTCTCGTTGCAAACAAGACAATATTCCAGTATGTACAGTTGACTTCGCTCGTATTGTACCAATATAATAAATCTGTTAGAAAACTAAGAGAACAACTGATTTAACCTTACGACATTGTAAGAAACAATACGTTTTGAATGAAATAAATAAATAATAAATAAAAACCTCTTTATTGCTATCCAAGAATACACAGAGTTGTACAAAATAAAAAACATACATGAAAAAATTTTAACAGATGGCAAAAGGGGGAGGCTCAGCTTAACCGATACTGGTTGAGATCCAGTGTCGAGCTGGTTTTCAGCCACCCCCCTTCCCAAGATGTAAAAGGGAGCGTAGATAGTCGGAGGTCGAATTCCATTTGATTCGTAAAATTGTCATACTCATTTAGTTTTCAGGAATTGACATTCCAAATTTTGTAATGGTAATGTAATTTTTGTTTCAGTCCCGTCGACGACGAAGGCTCAACTGGCGGCGGAGTACCTCGAGGCTTGTCGAGGCCATGCCACGCCGCCCATAGACTCCGTACTGCAGCAGATACGAGTTAGTATTTCTCTATGGTCTGTTTATCTTTCCACGGTTCTTTTTCTTCTTTTGTTTTCTTGTCTTTTAATAACAAACCAGTGAAAAACTCGGTGGTCATTGCAACCACTTAGACTGTATTCATACTGATTGTCAGCCAAAGAGGTTGTATTTTGCACTGACAATTGTCTATTTTAATTGTATCATCTTGTCCTTGTCCCTATAATGGGAGGCATAATATACCAGTTGTTTCTAGCGACTTCGTCCGAATATAAAAAATGTATCCTATGTTACTTCCGGATAACGTAGCATTTTAAAAGTGAAAGAATATTTGAAATCGGCCAATTGGTTTTTGAGTTATTTCAATAAAAAAATACAAATCTTTTCTCTTAATAATATTATACCTGGTGATCCATCACACAGGATGTCCTAGTTTGGACAACAGTCCCCGGCCCAAAGGGGTAATGTTTTTTTTAATTATTTCAGGAGTTACCAGAGAATTCTATAGGCGGTGGCGCGCGGGCACCTCGGCTAACACTAGTAGAATGCGCATTACGCGGCTGTGCTCCAGTAGACGCGTTAGAAGCACTTCTTAGAAAGGTTCAGTTCAGAAGACTGGAACTAGACCATGTGGAGATTGATGATGAAGGAGCGGTAAGTATGATGGGAACAGATGATATGTAGTTTCTTTTAGATTCTATTTCATCATCATCATCCCCCTTATCCTACTCTCGTAGGGTCGGCACAACAGGTTTTTGTCTTCCATAACTCGTATCATACGTCATCTCAGTCATCACTCCCTTTTTGATCATGTCACCTTTTACACAATCCATCCATCTCTTTCTATGTCTACCCCTACCGGTGTACCTCCATATTCATAACTAATGTTCTCCTTGTAACATGCGATTCATCCCTCATAACATGCCCCCATGCTAACCTTTTACTCCTTACCTTCTCTACCACAGGGGCTACTCTCAAACTATCCTATCAATTCGTGTTACCACACATCCATCTTAACATTCTCATTTCTGCCACATGTAGTCTCCTTTCATCCATCCCTTTTACTGCCCAACATTCAGATCTATACATCATCTTAGATTTTATTTCTATTAGATTCTACTTGTTACCTTAATTCCAGGAAGCTTTATTCGATATGATAGAATATTATGAGAGTGCGACAGTTGTGTGCGTGATGGGACCCCGTGAGTACGGTATTAGAGGATGGCAGGCTACTTCTAGGATGATAAAGAAGGTAAGTACTTATAGATATTTTATGTATTTTGGATATTAATGTATATTTAAAAAAAACACTAGGTGGTACTACCATTATTTGCTTTATTTTGATATTTCCAGAGCGCAGAGCTAACGGAACTGGAAGTATCAGATAGTGGTCTAGAAGCGTCACATGCGACTGTACTCGCTCGTTCTCTAAGACCTGCAACTTGTCCGTTACGCTCTTTGTGTTTGCAACGGACTCAGCTGTCTGGAGAACCCTTGTTATGTTTAGGTGAGTAGGAAACTACACTCACTCTGGCTTTGAAGGTGGCCTTCTCTAGTACATTCTCTGCAATATATACTTCCCCTAAATAGTGTACAGTATGTACTCTTACATACAACTCTAGCTGAATATCTGAATTCACTGCCTTATCTAGCATATTCTTTGCAAAATATTTTGGTCTTCCCCTACCTTTGTAGCTATCTAGTTCAGCCTATTTTATATTAGTTGTTGCTCGCGACTTAGTCCGCGTAAAATTAAAAAAAAACAAAAGTGAGTTTTTCCAGATTATCTACTTCAGCAGGCTTTAGGCTACAAACTCTAACTTATATAATCTTATCTTACTTATTATAAATGCGAAATTTTAGATGTATGTTTGTATCCTAAACTGCTGTACGGATATCGATGATTGTCATAGATGTAGATAGTCTGGAAGGACAACTGACTGTTTTTTTTACATACGGATGAAGTTGTGGGCGAAAGCTAGTTTATAATATTAATAAGATAATGTATTCCAGTGATGGCTTTAAAGTCAAACAATTCGGTACGCGAGCTCCGTCTCGGCGACAACCGTCTTAGTGCGCAGGACGCGGCGCAGCTCGCCTCGCTGCTCAGACTGAACACACGGATACAGTTGTTGGATCTCTCCAACAACCTCATACAGGTAAGACACAATTTATATACAGGATGTCCGGGAAAGATGTGCATCTACTGTTAGGAATAAAATTAGTACCGTGCTATAGAATTGGCGCAACTCTAGATTATCGGCTTAAACGTTACGTCCCTGACAGCTGTCAATGTCACTAGAAGTATGGATAGATTGGCGCGTAACTTGAGTCCTGACGAGAAGTGTCGCTCTGAGTTTAAAGCGACAGTATCAATTAAATAAGTTGTCTAAAACTACTACAGATTTCTTGGACGAAATTATGACGATTTGACCCAATTGCTAGAGGACTTAAATGTTTGATAATTATTTTACTCGAAAAACGCGCAAAATTTGTTAGCGCAAATTTGGATCACCCGTTATGCCATTTTGACAGCTCAAATTTAAAAAATAGCCTATAACATGCGGGTCTATGTCAGCTACCCTCCAATGAAGGTCCCGTCGAAATCGGGCCAGACGTTTCGGAGATTACCCGGAACAAACGCGGCTTGCGGACAGACAGACAAAAATTTTTAAATGCGATTTTCGTTATCAGCAACGCAAATACATCATCCCCGAAATCTGGAATTATTCAGTTGATGTTACAGACACTCCAATTTTACTATCTATATACATATCATAAAATAGCTGTTACCGTGCGACTTCACCCGCATAAAATTGTGAAATTTTTTTTCCTTGTTCACATGTGTCAAATTATCAATTGCAAATGTCAAAATGACATGACGATGACAAACCACGGTAACCTTGCTTCCTTGATGTTGGCAGCAACTTATGGTCTCTTTCCCACATTAGGAATTCATTTTAAAAATATTTACCCCCTAAGTTTAATGGCATGGAAATATATAGCCTAAAGCGTGGCGTAAGTGTAGGGCTTTTATTAAAAAAGGATTTATTCAAAAATATACTTTAATTGCCGACATCTTAGGCAACAAAGAAGTATGTGTTTACGCTTTATTATAATAGTATAAATATAAAAGTATCTGTGTGGAGTGTCTGTTTGCTATATCAAAATAATGTACAGATAAAGACTTAATATATCTCGTTCCACTGTAAGTGTATAAGCGCGTGTTTCCCCGCTTGTACTACAGGACGCGGGCGTGGCGCAGATCGCGGACGCGCTCGTGAAGCAGTCCTCGTGCACGCCGCCGTCCGCCGTCACCTCGCCGCTCTCCCCGCTCTCGCCGCTCTCCCCGCACCACTGTCCTGGTGAGTACACTTGCTGGCACAAATATAGAATAGTTATTGGGGGGTTAGGGGAGGCAAGATGGTGATTATTGGGGGATGTTGATCAGAAAGGGGGACATGATAATGGGGGCAGATTGATAAATAAAGAGGGGGACATGATAATGAGGGCAGATTGATGATCTAAGAGGGGAAAATAATAATGAGGCAGATTGATGATCAGAGGGGGGGTCATGATAATGGGGGCAGATTGATGATCAAAGGGGGGGGTCATTACAATGGGGGCATACATATGGCTATGCGAGGCAGGCCGTGGATCATAGAGGGCAATGACTCTTTGAGGGGCATATTTATGATAGTAGGGAGTGTAGAGTCAATGATAAAAGTGGGAAGGGAAGCTAGTAATAGGTAGGAGAAGGATGAATTTGGCTTCCCTCTTGCAACGCCCATTTAGACTTTTGCAAAACTGTAAATATTTTTATAAATTTTCTGTTTCAAAAGTACGTATTAACGTATTCGTTAGTAACACGTGGTAAATGTTAAAAAAACAATAAAAAATCATCGAGAATTTTTATCTCTGTCTACCCTTCAAGGTAATATAAGTGAGTTGTGTGTTTACAGTAAGCGGATACGAGTCTCGAGGTCTAGCGTTCCTGGTGCTGTGGAACAACCAGCTGACGAGGAACTGCGCGGTGCACCTCGCGAGGATCTTGGTGAGGGTCATATTTAACTGGTTAACTTTTGTATAGCTTGACACTTGCCACCTGTGTATTTTCTATTATAAAAGTGAATTATTTGTTTGTATGTAACGAATAAACTGAAAAACTACTGGGCCTATTTTAAAAATTCTTTCACCATTAGGAAGATAATTTATCTGTTAGTAACATATACTATGCTTTTTTATGACTTTTTTTTTAAAAATTCAAAAGTCAAAGATATCGCACGACAAAGTCGCGAGCAACAGTTAGTAACTTCTATACTGATATTATAAAGAAGAAGGATTTGTGTTTTTTTTATGTATGAACTCAAAAACTACTGGGATATTTTTTTATCATATTTTAATTGCACTCGGACGAGGTTGCGAGCAACAACTAAACTATTATAATAAAGCGTAAACACACACTTCTTTGTTGCCTAAGCTTTGTTGACGTAAGCACGGATGAAAGCTAGTTTTTTTTATTATTTTAAATGTAACATAGACGAATTCGAAAGCAACAGCTAGTATTTAATACAACAACCAAATTCCAGCGATCATCATCATCCCTGTGCGTGTTAAACGTGGGTCGTAACGCGCTGGGCTGCGAGGCGGTGCGCGCGCTGGCGGAGGGCGGGTTGGGCGCGCTGCTCTCGCTGGGCCTGCAGGCGGCGCGCCTCGGCCCAGACGCCGCCAGGCCCCTCGCGGCGCTGCTCGCTGCTGGACACTTGCAGGTCAGGGTGCACTGCTTACCTGTCGATTATTGGGGAGGTTACCTTAGTAGTGTCGGTTATTGGGGAGGTTACCTTAGTAGTATCAGTTATTGGGGAAGTTACCTTAGTAGAGTCAATTATTGGGTAGGTTACCTTTGAGTCAATTATTGGGTAGGTTACCTTTGAGTCAATTATTGGGTAGGTTACCTGAGAGTCAATTATTAGGTAGGTTACCTAAGAGTCAATTATTGGGTAGGTTACCTAAGAGTCAATTATTGGGTAGGTTACCTTTGAGTCAATTATTGGGTAGGTTACCTTAGAGTCAATTATTGGGTAGGTTACCTTTGAGTCAATTATTGGGTAGGTTACCTTTGAGTCAATTATTGGGTAGGTTACCTTTGAGTCAATTATTGGGTAGGTTACCTTAGAGTCAATTATTCGGTAGGTTACCTTAGAGTCAATTATTGGGTAGGTTACCTTAGAGTCAATTATTGGGGAGGTTACCTTAGAGTCAATTATTGGGTAGGTTACCTTAGAGTCAATTATTGGGTAGGTTACCTTAGAGTCAATTATTGGGTAGGTTACCTTAGAGTCAATTATTGGGTAGGTTACTTTAGTTATTTCCCCTGCCTTATCCTACTCCCGTAGGGCGCACCGGGTTTTCGTCCTCCAAAGCACTCTATCATCCGTCATCTCAGTCATCACTCCCTTCATCATGTCACCTTTCCCGCAATCTATACAACTCTCTACCGGTGTCTCCATATTCATAACTAACGTTCTCCTTGTAACATACATACGATTCATCCCTCTTCATAACATGCCCCCATGCTAACCTTTTACTCCCTTACCTTCTACCACTGGGGCTACTCTCACTTCCTCTAATATACTCATTTCATATCTTATCCATCTTTAGATTTTTTGTTTGCCACCTTATAATGTAAAAAAAATCCTTAAAATTAATAGAAAAATGTCTCCAAGTGTAGTGTCAACTATGTTTTCTTTGTATATGTATTGAATACTATTACAGAGGCTGGATTTGCGCGACAACAAGCTCGGCAGCAGCGGACTGCAGGTTATTCTGAACGCTATGAAGGATAATACTACAATTACTCAAATAGACCTCGATGATACACCGGTATGTATATAGGTTTGTCATGTCATGTCATTTTGACATTTGCAATTGAATTTGACAAATGTAATCAATAAAACAATTTTCATAATTTCATGCGAATGAAGTCGCACGGGAACAGCTAGTCATATTATAAATGCGAAAGTTTAGATGGATGGATGGATGTTTGTAACATAAATTACTGAACGGATCGTAATGGAACTTGGCATAGATATGGATACTGAAAGAACACATACTTTTATTTTTTTAATTCCTCGCGGACGAAGTCGCGGGCGAAAGTTAGTATTTTTTATATCATAAGGTGGGAAACTAGCAAACGGCCACCTGAATTCGCCATACTTGCGAAGCGACTGCCCATAGACATTCGCTATAGTGGATGCGTTACCTACCCTTAATCGACGGAGGAGACGCACAAAAAGAGGACATTTCCCCTTCCTATACGTTTCCACCGTCAAATTCACGATCCCTTCCCATCCTTTGTAAGTAAAAGGGTGGGAAGGAAAGGGAATAAAGTTGGGCCTCCAACACCACACTCATTAGTACGCGGAATTGCTTCCACTTCACGCCTTTCTGTGTGGTATTACACCGGGCGATTGGCGCGGGCTCTACCACTGTTAGTAATTAACAGTATGATATGTCAGGAGAGTAGCGTGTCGAGGTGCGAGGAGGCTGCGCTGGCGAGCCGGATGACGCGCGACATCCGCGCCGCGTGCCGCCGCAACGCGCCCGCCACGCCGCGCCTGCATCGCAAGATCAGCCTCACATGTCACACTGCCTGCTTCGTCAGGGTGAGATACACTGACAGCCTAGAATATACACTGACAGGATGTATTATACATTTACGGCCCGGATTATACACTGACAGCATGGATTATACATTTACAGCCCGGATTATACACTGATAGCATGGAGTATACATTGACAGCACATGTTATACACTGACAGCATGGATTATACTGACGTCATCTATATACTATTATAATAAAGCGTAAACACACACTTCTTTGTTGCCTAAGATGTCAGCAATTACACCATATTTTAAAATAAATATTTTTTTAATAAAAAGCCCTACACTGTTACGCTTTAGGCTATATATTTTAACACCATTAAACTTAGGGGGTAAATATTTTGGATAAAAACCCAAATGTGGGAAACGGACCATAAGTTGCTGCCAACATCAAGGAAGCAAGGTTGTCATCATGTCGTGTCATTTTGACATTTGTATTTGATAATTTGACGCATGTAAACAAAAAAAAAACATAATTTCATGCGTATGAAGTCGCACAGGAACAGCTAGTTTGTTATACACTGATAACACATATTGTACACTGATGACCCACGGCATTATACACTGACGTCATAAATTATATTTATAAGTGTGGAGGTACACCGGTAGAGGTAGACGTAGAAAGAGATGGATGTATTGCGTTAAAGGTGATATAATGAAGGGAATGATGACTGAGATGACGGATGATAGAGTTATTTGGAGGACGAAAACCCGATGACGATGATGACAAAGTATCTAAAAGAACAAAAACACTCACAAAATTATACACTGACGTCCTACAGTATACACTGACCTCATATATTAAACACTGACTACATGTGAAACTAGTCTGTGGTAGCAAAAGAGAATTGGATGACGAAAAATCTGTATGTCACTTCATACTTCATACTAATATTATAAATGCGAAAGTTTAGATAGATGGATGGATGTTTGTTAGAGTTTGTACACTAAATGGCTGAAAGGTTCTTGATGAAATTTGGTATAGAAGTGGATATTCTGGAAGAACATATAGGCTACTTAGTTTTGTTTTTTTTTTAATTCCACGCGGACGGAGTCGCGGGCGAAAGCTAGTCATGTGATAATTATTGTAATAAGTTGATTTTATAATTATTAATATAATGACTAAACTAGTTTTTTTTTATCTTTTTAATTTATTTTATTATTATAGAGTGGTGGTGTGGAGGAGGAGCGGCGCGCGGGCGGGCGGCTGCGCTCCCCGGCGCCCTCGCCCGCGCCCTCGCCCGCCGGCAGCCCCGTGCCCGCAGCTAACTCCAGATTCTCTGTTAGTATACTTAAATATCAACATTTGTATACCTTTTTATAGAAATTAATTAATGTGTCAGAAAGAGCTTTTCGCCCAAACGGCGAATTTCGCCGATTCGGCGAATAATCTTTTTATACTTTTTAATGGTTGAAAGTGTATACAGATATATCTCAGATTAATCTCAAATTAAATTGTTGTCGTCGCCCCCTGTGTCGAATTTCGCTAATTGGGCGAATTAATTTTTTAATATTTTGAAGGTGTGAAAGTGTACGAAGATAGTTTAAGTCGCAAATATTCTTGCATTGTTTGTTTGCACATTAGTCGAATTTCGTTAATTGTGCGGTTCATTTTTAAACTGTTATGTGGACGAATGAATAAAAAAATTATCGCCAAGTCGCCTAATTGGCGAATTTCGACAAATTGGCGACTGAAAATTTAAAACTTGTTACATGAATTTACAACTGAAATGTCATTAAATTCTCATCAAGTGACATAAATTTCATGTTCTATGCCACCAGGTGACGCGAGTGACACCGGACAGGGATTCATCAGACAGCTCCACCCCTTCAACCCCGACGCGGCCTTACTGTCCCACCCCGTCTAGGTTTAAAGTCGTGCAGGTAAATATACTAATACATGCGAAAGTTTGGATGGATGGATGTTTATATCCTAAACTAGATGTAGAGGATAGTCTGGACACTTAGACTAAATTTGTTTTGCTAATTCCGTGTAGACAGAGTCAAGTGCTAAAGCTAGTGTAAAAATAAAGATAGATTCTTGCTTCTTCTCTTTCCAAAGAAAAGACGTTTTCTTCAAAGAAAAAGAGAAGTGGATTTGACGGGAATGGGATGCATAATTTTCTCTTTTTCTCTTCCTCCCCTCCTCTGATTATTAAAACATTTCACTATTTTGACTTCAAATATTTATTGACATCTAGTTGTTGCTCACGACTTTCCACGTGAAATTATGAAATATAAAATGTGCCTATGTTACAGTTAAATCATACTAATATTATAAATGCGAAAGTTACGATGGATGGAAGTTTATTAGAGTTTGTAGCCTAAACTGCTGAACGGATCTCTATGAAATTTGGCATAGATGTAGAGGATAGTCTGGAAGAACATAGACTACTCGCTTTTGTTTTTCTTAATTCCACGCGGACTCGCGGGCGAAAGCTACCTTTATAATGAAGGAATTTTTAAAATTATCCAAGTACTTTTTACGTGAATAGAATACATACATAAATACAAATCTTTCCTCTATATTAGTATAGATATCGTGATATTCTGAAAAAACTACATAATCAATATTTATATGAAAAAATACTATTAATTCCAGGTCGTTGAACCGCCACAGATTCAAATACATCCAGCTAAATCTAAAGGGATATCAAGATTCTCCGTCACAAGGAACTATGATTCCTCCTACAACCCCACCCCTTCTCCTAGCTCCACCCCCTCCCCCAGCCCGGAGCCCTCCACAGCCACCCCCAGCCCTGAACCCAGCAGACAGGAACCCCACACACTGATGAAAACCAGCTCCGAACCAACGATATTCAAAAGAGAAACAGATATAAAAAGCAGAAAAATCCCAGCGAAATTCTCAATGGAACCATTAGTAGTAGGGAAATTACCTCTTGTCAATAAAACTGATACAGAATTAGCTAAAGATGGAAATCTAGATAATAATATGCCTGAAATAGTGAAAAATAAACTCCTGTTACCTGATAATTTAGTTAGTAATAAAGATGTTAGTGAAATTGAATTAATAAAACCCACCATTGAGCCGGTCGAGGCGGATCTCAAAGAAACTTCAAAAACTGTCGCTTTTGAAGGAAATTCGAATAAACATGATGAGAATGTGTTAGATGACAGTAAAGATAATGATGTGACTGATAAAATTAATAGTGATAGTAAAGTACAATCGACCGCAGGTGATAGTAAAATAAGTGATAATTTAGGAGATAGTGATGAGATATATCATTGTGAGGATAAAGAAGATAAAGTGGAGAGAGTTAAAAATATAGAAGCAAGCGATATAGATGTTAAAATAACAGTTAGAAATGAAAATAATAGTGTAAATATAAATACAGCCAAAGTACATTCTGACCAAAATTCAAAGGACACAGAAGCAGAAAAAGGTGTTGCTATAAAACATTTAGAAGAAATAACAGAAGATTTAGGTAATATAATACAAGAAATGCAAGGTATGACGAGAAATGTCAAAGTTAAAAACGACAGCACACAGACGGATAACATAGATATAATATCAGTACCTTTAAACCGAGATGTAGTGCTAAAGAAGAATAAAAGCGAATCAAGTCTAGATAGTCCTGATCTAGAAGTTTCTAGACTTATGAATAAACGTGTAACTGGCAGTGCTTTTTGTGATAGCAGCTCGTCGTTAGAGATATCGGGTAGTTCGATGGAGAGTTTAAATGCGATGGATAATACGCAAACAAAACCAGTAATACATGAAAATGTGGAAACTGATAAAGAATTAGACAGAAGAAGAGATGGAAATCTATCTACTGAAAGCAGTGTAGACTCAAGTGATACAACACCAGTAAATAGTGGATTTTTAAATATATCCATCAGTTCAAATGAGAGTGTTTCACCCATAATTTTCGGTGGTAAAAAGATTCACGGGTCTCTATCTAGCTTAGAAGCTAGCATGAGTTCTTTGGAATCAGCTAAACAAGAACGAATTATGGTCACTTCAGCAGATTCCGGGATAGAATATTCTTTACAAAATCCATCAGAGAGCAAAGAGGATGCATCATCTAATGAAGGGACTCTAACGCATAATTCCAGTTTAAAGGAAAGTGTTAGGAAACCGGAAATATTCCAAGTACATGAGACTTTAACAACACCGAAACGAACTTCTAGCTTATTGGATGTTCCAGCATTGAAGAGTAAAGGCCTAGACCGTATGAGGAAGATATCCTGGGTTGCACCATCTTCTAGTTTCCATATACCAAGACCTGAACCGGAGAAGATAGAGATAAAACTACCTTCACATCTAGAAAAGCTGCTAAGCCTCTTCCAGCATCCAAGCAGTCTTTTCTCGAGAAGTAGTTCTCATAGTGATGATGAGAAGAAATCAACATCAAGCACACCACCAAGGAAAGATTCTTCTTTAACCAGTTCTTTCTGGTCCTGGGGCAGTGCAACTGAAAAAACAGAAAGAGACGATAATGATAGTCTCTCAGAAGCAACAGATTCCACTCTATCAGAGAGAATTCAAGTTTCCTTTGTCGATGAATCATTTTCAAAGAAACTCGATAGTAAGACACCTTCAACGGAAACAGATAACACACTAAGTGAATTCCAAACGATACAAGTTGAAAGTAATGTTGAAGTTACCGATATAACCACCGATGAAAATTTAGTACAAACAAATTTAGATTTAAGCGTAAATACAAACGGCAATAAGCCTGTTAGTGATAATACAGATCTCATAGCAAACGAACGAAATAACGATACGATAACTGAAGTTAAACATGAACAAACAAAAACAGACAAGTTTACAAAGGATTTAAACGTCAAATTGGACGATAAACAAGAAATAATACGACCAAGATCATTTGCAGCAGTTTTAAAATCATCAGGCACAGAGAATTCGATAGAGAAACCAACGACACCAGAATCAGGACCATCTGTTGATAAATTACCAAGCAAAATAATAAGAGGCATCAAAGAGAATATCAGTCCAGAAAATACTTTAACATCGAGTATGACGAATACTAAAGCGTTAGCAATCGAATTGACAGACAAACAGAAAAAAACATATACAAAAGAATTTGATGAAATTAAAGCACCAATAGCGACTGTAGAAGATTTATGTGACACAGATATACATTTAGCATACATAGATGACGAAAGAATAGATAATAAAGAAATAACAGAAATAAACACAAAAACAGATTCAGATGTTGATGTAGGTAGAGACGCACTATCTTATTTAATATATGAAAATCAAGATTTCAAAAAAGAAAAAGATACAAAACCAAATTCAACAGAAATCGATGATAAAATATTAATCGATTTATCGCCAGAATTGGTTATCGATGAAGCTATAGAAGCGCCTGTTTTTATAAAAGAAGCAATAACATCACCTATACCAGAAAGAGCTAAAATTAAAAAATCAAATTCATTAGAAGATTTATCAAGGAAATTAGCACAGATAGAGAAAGAAATACCTAAAACGAAAACAATAGCTTTCAAAGTACCAGATACTAAACCTCGAGATATACCAGGAAGGAGACTGAAATTCAGGACTGGTACAAGTCCTAAATCATTACCGGAAAGTTTGAACAAACCCTGTCCCTTAACTAAAATGGATACGGGAATTAAAAAGAAGAAGAAAACCTCATTAGGGAAAATGGCACGAGATTCTCTTTTAGCGTTAAATTTGACGGAAGAAGAGACATCAGAATTCAGAAGTTATAAATTAACTTCTGTTGAAAGTCTGAAATCCTTAGAGTCGGTTTCCGAAGACGCTAATTCACAATCTGGTACATCAGTCGACTCAAGATGTAGATCTTGTTTGAGAATATCACAAGAAAGTTTAATTTCTCTAGATTCGATAAATGAAGATTGTCGTTGTTATGAAAATGAGAAAAAAGGGCAATCGAATAGATAAAAGGAATTTAAAAAATCTTATGGGAGATAATTTAAATGCGATTTTTATCGCTTTATGACTTATCGTGTTATGCGATTTAAGTCTATTTATCCGTAAACGGGTATTATAAATGTAAATTATATAAAAATTCGAACGTTTTCACGTAGTTTGAGTGTTTTTGTTATATCTATGGAATTTTGAATTATTTATGGCATAGTGAAAGCTGTTTTTTTATTGAATTTAAAGATATAAGTATTTCTGTCTTTACAATTTAAGGCTTTTGACGTGCTAGTGGAGTATTCGAGTACGATAACAAAAACGGCCCCTATGTAAAATGTCGTAAGTCACAATTTGCGATTTATAAATCGTAACTTGTATTAGTAATAAATTCTCTGTAAAAAAAAATAACGTTACAAATAATAAACTTCGGTATTATTGTATATTCATATTTAATAATTTATATAAATGCGAAAGTAAATGTATGTTTGTTATTGTATATCTTTAAAACGGGTCAATATCGATGTAGAACATAGTCTACATGCTTTTTTATTCCGCGCAAAGTCGCGGGCGACAGCTATTACTTAATATATCGTTATATTTAAATATCTTGCAAAATTGACATTTCAAACTTACGATAGTTTACATAGGAGTACGTCTTTGTACATGTTATTGTGGGCGTATTGTAGATAAAAGCGAGAGTGTTTCCTATATAAATGTGAAATTTATATAAAATAGAGGTAAATAAGGTCTAAAGAGATTTTTTTATGTATTCTTTAAAGTTATTATATATTTAATGGCAGAAATAATCGAAATATTCCTTTTAAAAGTTTTAATTTTGTCATATTTGGGGGCCAATAATTTTATACGTATTTCAAATGTATCACTTTTAAAAAATACGTGATACTAATGTTTTTTTCCTAATAGAATTAAAGTATTCGGTCGTGTGTATTTTAAAATAAATGGTATTTGAAAAATCGTTTAGAATTTTCGTTTATTTCTAGCCATTAAATATATCAAATTTTAAATAAATCAGGCCCCATTTTTATTAGATTTTCGAAAATAATTAATTTAATATATAGAAAATATAGACAGTTTAATTTTTTTGTCTATTTTTACATATAGTGTGACGAATTTATTTGACCCGGTGAAATTGGAGTTCCGTAAGAAAATATAAAAACATTATATGCTTGAAAATGACGGATATCGTACGACAATGAAATATTGTTTAGTGACATTCCGAGTCAAATAAATCATTTTGTTATACGTCAAATATCGCACTATTATATGAAAAAAATACGCATATATGTCTAAATAAGATAGTTTGATAAATGACGCATATGAAGTATCGAATTCAATGTATGAAGGTAAACGCCATACTTAATAGACAGGTATCGTAGTGACGAAACACGCAGCGAACAATTATGAACTATCGATATTCGATTAAAACTTATTTAGACTAGTTTGTCTAAATAAGATAGATTAGTTTGACAATTTAGTAGGGATGGGTTGTGGAATCAGTCATGAATCTTATCGATTTTCGATTTTTATTCTTATATAAGTTTGAATCAATAGATTCATAGTTATAACTTAAGAATTAATAAAAAAAAAAACAATGTTTTCTCAAATTAATAATGACCTGCAGAACCATTACAAATAATGAGAGTAAATAAATGTTTATTACTACTACAGTCGTACGTAATCGAATTGGATTTCGCTATTATTTCTGTCATCGCTAAATTCTCTACACTATAATCAATACTAGAATTGTCCACTAAATTAGTTAATAAGAAAATAATAATTTTACTTGAGTTCGATAATTATTTAAACCGAATATCGATAGTTCATAATTGTTCGCTGCGTGTTTCACTACGATACCTGTCTATTAAGTATGACATTTGCCTTCATACATTGAATTCGATACTTCATATGCGTCATTTATCAAACTAATCTATCTTATTTAGACAAACTATATACCAAAAAGATGTTCGTAAATGACAGACATTTAAACAATGATTTCTGGCCCGGTGAGTTATAGATTGTTTCAGAAATTATATTGACATAAAAGATTGGTACCTACTATAATTTAGTTTCACAACAGATAATAAAATATACTAATTACAGTTTCCATTGGGTTAATAAGTACAGTCGTGGACATCTGCTGTGTTCCTTCAAGTATTGCCTTGTTCATTGCAAACTCCGCCTCTTACAAATAACTAGTGAGTGCAAACGAAGGGATAATATAACGAAAGCTGTGAAACACAGTAAAAATATTTATAAGCTGTGTTGTTTTGATTTTTCTTCGCATCTCGTTTTAAAATGTTCGAACACCGCTAGTTTTCCGAATTGTACATTTTATGAGTAGAAAAAAACTAATAATAAATTTAATAAGTCTTAAACACCTTAAAAGCAATATTTATTAATATATGGTTATTGTAAATAATGAAAATTTGTCTCCACTTGTAGTTCGATTCAATAGAAATGAGAAATGAGAGAGAGAAAATTATATTTTATTTAGTCTTGGGTAGTACACGTACGATGTACTAAAAAGTAATGTTACTCGGCACTGTACTAAAAATAACGTTACCGAACGGCTTCTGTCAATCGGACATTTAGTACTATTAGTACACTACACGATATCGGTGTTCGCCTTTTTGTCAGATTGAAGCATCCACCTTCGATAATGAGAATCAAAAGTGGATAAAATTATTCATAACTAAATTTATTTTCGCTAATAACATATGTTTGACCCTGCTTAAAATTTGATGTGAAGTAATATAACCCTCGTTATATTCTATTCATGTATTGTTCTCACAAATCTGAAGTACTAAAGGTACTAAAAGTGTGTACTAGTACGTTTTCCCAATTGTACTAGTACGGTGCGCACTTGCAGATGTCCGATTAAGCCCAAGACTAATTTTATTGTCAAATTATCAATTCCAAATGTCAAAATGACATGACATGACAAACCTTAGCAATCTCGCTTCCTTGATGTTGGCAGCAACTTATGGTCTCTTTCCCACATTAGGGTTTTTATCCAAAATATTTACCCCATAAGTTTAATGGCGTGAAAATATATAGCCTAAAGCATGATGTAAGTGTAGGGCTCTTTATTAAAAAAGACTTATTGTAAAATATGGTGTAATTGCTGACATCTTAGGCAACAAAGAAGTGTGTGTTTACGCTTTATTATAATAGTATAGATAGACCTACAGATGTTTTTGTAACACAAACTAAATACACACACAATAAATAAAATTGTTATTTATGTGTTTAATTTCTCATTTCTATTTGAATTCGAAATTAGTGAATTTTATTTCGCATTGACGAATTGAGGTTAGAATCGTTCAATGTACCATAGAGTTGAATTTACGACTGCTATCTTTTGTCTCATAGAGTAAGAGATTGCAGTATCTAATGTGGTTTTCTTCGATTGATTTTGAAGTGATATTGGAAACACTTTTGTATAAATAATCGCGTTTTGGATGTTGCAAATAAAAGAGTACTTAATTGGCGGTTTTTTATTTGTTTTTTTTTAACTTTTTAATTAGAAAGCAAATCAGCAAGCTGTCATCTGAGGGTTTATTGTGAGTATTCGTGAGACCGTTATCGTAGTGTCGAAAATATTTAATTAAAGTGCAGTACAACATGTAAGTAAGCGCACTGTAGACCCCCTTTGCCCCACTTTGGGGACATACGACAAGTAGGACAAAATGTAAGTATGTCAACAAATATAGATATTATCACAGACACACACACATGAGTGCTACGATGGGTTATATCATAATCTCAACTGCTCCCTGTATCATAAACTGAACCATGTAATAGTAGTTTAGGGGAGGATGAAAACCAGCGCGGCCTTCAGTGACAAGCTGGAGGCCGCATCGGCAGAGCCTTCTCCTTTTTTGCCAAGAATTTTTTTGTCTTTATTTTATTTTTTTTAGTAATTTGATTTGTAAGTTGTGTTCTTTTAATTTTTTTTGGTCAATAAATAGTGTATTATTTTATCAACGTTACGAATACATTATCGCAATTGTTACACAAATATTCGTGATAAACCCTCTAAGCTAAGCTATACGTTACAGCGCGAAAAATAGCCTATATACCCATCCATCAGCTACCTTCCCGTCAAATTTCCGTTAAAAACTGGGTCCATTAGTTTTGAAGATTATCTGGAACAAACATGCAGACACACAAAAGTTCGTCATATATTCGAGAAATATGATTTACTAGTTGTCGCCCGCGGCTTCGTCTGCGTGGAAAAAAAAACAAAGTAGTCTATGTGTTTCAGACTATCTTCTACATCCATACCAAATTTCATTGAAATCCGTTCAGTAGTTTAGACTACAAACTGACAAACATCCATCTAAAATTTTGCATTTGAAATGTTAGTATGATTTTCCATATTACAGACACTCCAATTTTGTTAACTGCATAGTTAAAATGATTTAATACCTCGAATACCAAAAACAGAATCTAAATATATGTTAAAAATTCCTGTTTAACATGAATTAAAAATGGCGGACAAGTGACGCATCATTTTGTTGTTCTGCCAGTAGTGACCATCCATGGTCACGAACAGTCGTATAGTTCCCTAGCTTTTTTTAATTCAAAACCAATAATAAATCACAAGGTAAGTCTCTTTTGTGAATATTTTTAATAATCTATAATCGACATTTTGGCGGGAATGTTGTTTTATTATTATCTGTGTATTTTTATTGTTATCGTAAAACTTTAATGCGTCGTAAGATATGAAAAGCAATTATTTAATCGTTAAGTCGAAGTTAGCATTTTATTTGCAAATAAAATCTGTATTCACTAGATAAATTATTATAACTAGCTTTGTTCCGCGTGGAATTAAAAAAAAACAAAAGCGCGCATTTTAAAAATAAAAAAGTGGCGTATGTGTTCTTCCAGGCTTTGCTCTACAAGTATGCCAATTTTCATCGTGATCCGTTCATTCATTTAGGCTACAAATTCTAACAAACATCCATCCATCTAAACTTTCGCATTTATAATATTAGTAAGAAGTAAAATTTATCTACGTTTACTAGCTTTTGCTCAAGACTATGGGCGAATTTAAAACACAATCTAGAAATATAGTCTACGTTACTCTATGATAAATTAACTTTTTAATTTTGAAATAATTTTTTAAATCACTCCAATATTTTTTAGGTATCTAACAAAAGCAGAAATATTTGTTCTGAATAGGATAAGTATAGAATAATAGATTTTATTTAAATTAGCTAAGAGATAGTAATATCAAAAGAAAAAATCCAGATTTCGGGAAGATGTATTTGCGTTGCTAATAACGAAAATCTATTTTTTTAATAAACTAACTATTTATAAGTAAACTCTCAACATTATAAACAGAGAGAAAACAGACTGGCTGGTATTTCAATTTATGTTGGTACTAGCTTTTTCCCGCACAGAAAAAAAACTTACGTCTCCTTCCAGATTATTCTACATATTTGTTAAATTAATTCGAGAACTGTTTAACAGTTTTGGAAACACGAAATAACAAACATACATTCCTATTTATATGTTAGCACGGTATATAGATCTTTTTAATAATTTGCTAAAATACATTTGCAAAATTTTTAAAAATTTAATTTTGTATTGTAAATGGCAACACTGACAAAATTTATCCCAACACGATGATTTTCCCCTTTTTACATCCCGATTTGATGTTTAGTTTTTTTTTCTAACCTCGTAAAATATAACCTCAATATCCCGAGCAGAAAATTCTTATGAACCAAGCAATCTACTCATTTTTTACCTAGTTGTGCTCTGCTAGTCAGAAAACTGTCCTTTTTTCCTTTTCAAACCGGTTATTAGTCATTTTTATAATGTCCTTAATACATACGTTTTATTGCTTGTGTGCTTATTGTCTACATAAGTGGGTTATGTAACACTTTCTATGAGGAAAATATATAAGTAACGTTGAAATCGGCTCAGTTCTTAATGCCTGGTTTACATTTGTCCAGCACAGTTGCAACGGTCGTAGACTCACTACGCCAATCAGTTTATACAATGCCAGTTGATTGCCAGTCCAGTTGGGTAACAAGCAACAATAAGCATTTTTTAAATCGCGATGTATGCACACTTAAGGTGCACTGAACTTATGTACAGTTGGGGAAATGCGCGGTGTAACAGTTATAAAAATTGACTTTCAACGAGACAAAGTACACTTTAAATAACCAATTAAGAGCAGTGAGTTGTTCGAACGGGATATTAAAACTTAAAAAGCAACCGTGTACGATTTATCGAACGACTAGCTGTTCCCGTGCGACTTCATCCGCATCAAATTATGAAACTTTTATTTTATTATTTACATTTGTCAAATTATCAATAGCAAGTGTCGAAATGACATGACATGACAAAACTTGGCAATCTTGCTTCCTTTATGTTGGCAGCAACTTATGGTCTCTTTCCCACATTAGGGTTTTTATCCAAAACATATACTCTCAAAGTTTAATGGCGTGAAAATATATAGCCTAAAGCGTGATGTAAGTGTAGGGTTTTTTATTAAAGAAAGAATTATTCAAAAATATGGTGTAATTGCTGACATCTTAGGCAACAAAGAAGTGTGTGTTTACGCTTTATTATAATAGTATAGAGTATAATCTTACATGATTTAAATAAATAAATAATCGATCTTTATATACAGACACAAACTGCGTTTTATTGATTTTTGTTGCGTCTCGTCTCAAAATGGTCAAAGAACTAACTTTTATGTTGGAACTCTGACAGATTTACCGATTGTACAATGTTTTCCTCAACTTTCAAGCCGGTTACATTCAAGTAACAGTAAATTGACGTATAAAATACTAAAAGAAGGAGGTACTCAGTCTTTTTATTTTTTTTTAATCGAAACGAAAGGCAGTTGTGTTTTATTCTTCTAACAAAAGAGTAACGTTTTTACGTGCACGTAAGTTTTTTTGTAAATTCATTTAAAACGGCTTAGACCCTAAACTAATGAACTGATTTTGACAAATGAGTTGTCATTCTCTTCGGATTATTCCTAACCGTCACCCCGCTCTGTCCCCACTTGGGACAGATGAGTATAAAAAGTTTCATCCGTTCCACCTTTTGCGACGGATGGTCGGTTAGAACTTATCGGAACGGATCTCGAGGATATTCTGGAATACATAGGCTACTTGTATTGTATTTTCAATTCCACACGGACGGAGTCCCGGGCTAAAGCTAGTTTTAAAATAAAACCATGTTCATTTAGAGCGTGTTTACACTTTGACTAAACTATCGCAGAACTGTTTGGTCTCGCTTTGATTCCTATAAGCTTATGGACACACTACTCGATGTTTAGTTGTACTAAACAGTTGACTGCGGAACAATCGACGATAGTCAAAGGTGTAACTTTCTTAAAAAAAACAGTTTATTCAGTTCCTTACTTCTTTGTTTTAAAACTCTGACAACAGATGGGGCTATTACATTTTTAATGTGACATTCGGGGTTTTGGTTTTAAGATTTTTTTTTATAATATAAGATGGCAAACGAGCAAGCGGCCTGAATCCACCGAAATGGAGAACGTCTACCCATAAACATCCGCAATTGCAACGCTGCCTACCATTCATTGACGGAGACGCAAATAAAGACATTTCCCCTTCCTGTGCGTCTCCTACAAATCCACTTTTCCTTCCCATCGTTTCCTCTTAAGAAATGGATGGAAAGGGACTACCATAAGGCCCCCTTATAACGTCACGTTTTCTAATTTGATTTCAGATACTCGTGTGATGTAAGATATTATTTGAAACGGAAATATTAATCGTCGGAAATACCGGCAAGATGTTGATTCAGGTTTTACCAACGATTTTCCTTATTCTTATAATTAACGGAGTTACAAGTCTGAGAGGTAAGATACTTTGATTATGTTCGGATTTGTCAACAACTGTTGCCCGCGACGTCTGCGTGAAATTCAATAAACAATACAATAAAATAGCTTATGTTACTTACAGATAACGTAGCTTTTTAATAGTAAAAGAATTTTTGAAATCGAACCAGTTTACGAGTTATTTAAATACATAAAAATGCAAATATTTCTTCTCTACAATATAATTATATCCGATGGTGATAAAAATATTTACATTTCTCTTGATCTATTAAAATAAACTGCATGTAAAGCCATTGAATATTTTAAAAGATGTTGCATACGTACAGCGGGAAGTGACCTTGTTTTATACCGTAGCTTTCGCCTGCGACTCCGTTTGTATAGAATAAAAAAATAATTTAAAACATAACCTATGTTACTCACTGATAACGTAGCTTTTTAATAGTGAAAGAATTTTTGAAATCGAACCAGTTTACGAGTTATGTCAATACATAGAAAAATTACAAATCTTTCCTCTTAATATAGTATATTGTAAGAGAACCGTTAAAGATAGATATATGCTATCGCAGATTTTTTATAGAACTTTTTGAGATCTACAATTCTTTCCTACATCATTTTTGACCGACTTCCCAAAAGAAGGAGGTATTCAATTCGTCGGTATATTTTTTTTTTTATTTTTTTTTTATGTGTGTTACGGCATAACTCCGCCGCTAGTGGACCGATTTGGATAATTCTTTTTTTATCCGAAAGGTAATGCTTGCAGGTGGGTCCCATTTTTTTGTTTAATTTTTGGAGTCTAAGACTACGACGTAGTTAAATAGTTTAGCTCAAAATCGCGCGACGAAATTTCGGGTCATTTTTGCTTTCTTTGCTTATTATATATCTCTAACAGTTTAGGCAGCGTAAGGAGAGAAAAATTAAAGTTTAGTAATTTTTTGACGTCAGCGTTCAGAAATTCGCTGTTTATTAATAGTTCCTAAACATTAGTAATAATGAAATATAGCCTATGTTACTCACAGATAAATTACCTTTCTGATGATGAAAGAATTTTTAAAATCGGCCTAGTAGTTTTTGAGTTATTTCAATACATACAAAATACGAAAATACTAAGTTTTCCTCTTTACAATTTTAGTATAGATAGCCTAGCTTTCGCCCGCTTTTAGTAAAACTATAAATGTAGAACAGATCGTCACGCAAACAGAGCAAGTTATCATAATTCAATTGACTTATGCCCACCAAGTCAGATAACTCTCCTAATCTGTATAGGCTATAACGTAAACGCACCTATTACCGCCAGTTTATTGTTCAGATTGATGTCCAAATAGCACGATTTTTGATTGTAGTCAAGTGAAAAATAGTTACACTTAGTAAATTTATCGATTTTAGTCATGTATAGAAATAGCTATACTTATTTACTTAAAAGAATACAAATTAAATGAAAGAAAAATTTGCCATGTCCCTGTTACCGACCCAACGTATACGTGTGTACCTTAAACGTGATCCTGTCAGCATTGCAACGTTCATTTTGAATATTTCTTTTTTTATTTCATAGTTAGGTTTTTCATTATTTTGTGTATTACCTTTTTTGATTCATAAGGATTAAACATTATTTTTTTTTATTTTAATAGGCGCGGATTTCTAGGGGTCGATATAAGGTGCGTTTACGTTGTGTGAAATGTATCGGACATCCATCACGTAAGCGTTGCCAACCGAATACGCTGGCTAAGTCAATGGTCAAGGGCAAAAAGCATAATAGTAATTTTATTCATCCAGAAAATAAAATGCTGAAAAACCGACAAATCATATTCCAATCAATATATACGGGTTTTTAGCGATTTCAATTTAGCTTTTTTTTATCTTAATTAACACGTTTATTTTACAATTTTCCCGCTCCATAATTTAGACGCGCTCATGACGCCTCGGAAACACTCCTCCTGTTGAAAGAAAATAGCAAAATTTGATTCTTGTATAATAAGTATCAAAGTTTATCGAAGCTCGAACAGCCGGCATATATCTGCGATGTACCTTTTGCATTGCATAAAATTTGAACACCATTATATTTAAAATAGCTTTCGTTCGCGACTCCGTCCAGGTGGAATTAAAAAAAATCAAAAGTGCATGTTCTTCCAGACTATCCTCTACGTCTGTGCCAAATTTCATCGAGATATATTCAGCTGTTTAAGCTACAAACTCTAACATCCATTAGTAGGAATGTTACAGCAGACACATACCTTTGACACAACAGTTGTGCGATAGTTTAGTCAAAGATGTGCTATTTTATTTTTTTCTTCAGAGGGTGACTCCTGTTATGATGATAACAGTAACTTCTGGGGCCGCTGCAAGCATTCTTATGATTGTCCCTCGGCTGATAGCAATTTCGCGTAAGTATTACCTATATTAAATTGCCTGCGACTTTTTTCGCAATAAAGATTCAAGTGAGGATCCCTTTCTATGTTTCCTATCCTCTTTCTTTCTTCTCCGTAAAATGATGCTAACCAACGATTTATGGAGAGCAGTTCGGTATTTCGGCGAATTTAGGTCGGCTTGTTAAATTGAAAAAAAAAATAAGCCTATGTTACTGACTTAGCTTTTAATTGTGAAAGAATTTTTAAAATCGGCCCAGTAGTTTTTGAGTTATTTCAATAGATATAAAAATACAAATCTTTCCTGCGTAATTATATTAGTATTGAAAAGGCTTTGCCTCATCGCTATTAAGAGTATATCCCATTTGTTTGCCCAATTTGATTAAAATTCAACCTGTCTGAAGACGTTCGGTGTAGGCACCGACCAGTTTCAGACCCGTCGGTGGTACCTCTGTGGTGGAATAAAGCCGGTAACCACTCACCCTGCAGAAGGACCCCGATGGGTCTGAAACTGGTCGGTGCCTACACCGAAGGTTGCCACATGAGTTTAGCCGTGTTATAAATTATATTTATAATGTCTCACGAAATTTTTGATAAGTTAACCTTTCTGGAGTTTTGCACTTGTATTATTTATAGTTTGTCTAAATAAGATAGATTAGTTTGATAAATGACGCATATGAAGTATCGAATTCAATTTGTATGAAGGCAAATGCCTTACTTAAAAGGCAGGGATCGTAGTGACGAAACAAACACGCAGCCAACAATTATGAACTATCGATATTCGGTTTAAATAATTATCGAACTCAACTAAAATTATATAATAGTATTGATTATAGTGTAGAGAATTTAGCGATAGCAGGAAATAATAGCGAAATCCAATTCGATTACGTACGGCTGTAGTAATAAACATTTATTTACTCCCATTATTTGTTATGGTCATTATTAATTTAAGAAAACAGTGTTTTTTTTTCATTTCATAAGTTAGAACTATAAATCTATCGATTCCGACTCTATAAGAATAAAAATCGAAAATCGATAATTCATGACTGATTTTACACAACGCATCCCTACGAAATTTCAAATGAATTGTCAAACTACTCAAAATTACTTGCACAAACTATAGTAAGTTTTCTCTATCAAGAATAAATAAGAACAATAAACTATCAACAGTTGTGATTGTCTATTGTTCTTCTTCTTCTTAAAGTGCCATCTTCTTCCGAAGTTCGGCGATCATTAGGGCGAATTTCGTTCTTGACAACGCGGCTTTGAAAAGCGAACGGGTGCTCCTTCCATTCCATACCCATTGTCTATTGTTAGCAGCCATCAACTGTTTAGTTGCACAACTAACCGAGTAGTGCGCATCATATAACTAATAATTTAATTGCTCCGATTGTTTTTCAGTAATAAAGGAGTCCGTCCAGTATTCTGTGAGTATTCCGTAAGAAGAGTGTTAGTATGTTGTGCAGAAGAGAAACAGCAAAGTTCGTAAGTACAATATATTCAGGCTTAGAAATAAACGCGGTATACAGTTAAATTTAGGAATAAACTAAGTATAAGCAGAATTTATACATTGGTAGTGCCCGCTTTAACATCTTAACACTGCAGGGCACGCCCCCAGTAATACCACGACACCACAAACAGGCGTGAAATGGAAGCAATTCCGTGTTTGGTCTGATGAGTGTGGTGCCGGAGGCCTAACGTAAGTCCCTTTCTCTTTACCACTCTTTTCTTTTAAGGAGAGGATGGGAAGGGGAAGTGGATTTGACGAAGGAGAAGCATAAAAAAGGGCAAATGTGGGCAATAAAAAAGGGCCTCTTTATGTGCGTCTTCTCCTCTGTTGGATAAGGGTAGGCAACGCATCTGCAATTGCGGTTATCTATTATAAAAAAATAAGTTTAACTTTGTACCGCGTTTATTTGTAAGGCTGTAAATGTTTAATTAAATTCTTTCCGTAAACAGTTTGTTTAATCTTTGTTTTGTTAACATTTCGCAGTGTTATCCTGACATCAGGGAGGAAGAGAATCAGCGAAAAGAGTAAGAAATCTTTTTATTTCTTAGCTAAAAGCTATCTATCCAATGTTAATGATACTACAGCGTACTGCCCTACACACAAGCCGACGTACAGTTTGAATCTTGTTATACTAAATTTGTTCGACAATCTTTGTAGCGTAGAATGTCAATAACAGCACATTTATGAATAATTCTTGTTTATAGAAAGCGCTTTAAGCTATATATTTTCACGCTTTGTAATCTTAGGGGGTTAATAAATTGGATAAAATCCTAATGTGGCGAAGACACCACTACGAGCTGCCAACATAAAGGCGACAAGGTTGTCATTTATGCATTTGAATTTGGACATTTCACAAATGTAAACATTAAACGTTTTTATAATTACATGCGGATGACCCACGGGTACAGTTAGTTGAATTTTAGCGAGTTAACATTGGTAGTGCCCGCTTTAACATCTTAGCACTGCAGGGCTCGCCCCCAGTAATACCACGACCACACAGACAGGCGTCAAATGGAAGCAATTCCGTGTACAGTCTGATGAGTGTGGTGCCGGAGGCCTAATTTAAGTACCTTTCTCTTTACCACCCTTTTCTTATAAGGATGGGAAGGGGAAGTGGATTTCATGGTGAAGGAGATGCATAGGAAAGGGAAATATCCTCTTTATGTGCGTCTCTTTCTCCGGATAAGGGTAGGCAATGCATCTGCAATTGCGGATGTCTATGGACAGTCGCTTCGCCATTTTAGTGGATTCAGGCCGTTTGCTCTTTTACCACCTTATATTATATAAAAAAAGTAGTTGAATATAATTCTTTACAGAATGCGATGAATACAGCGAGGAAGTAACGCAGAAAGTTGAGGTTATCTTTCTACTGCCAGAACCTGAAACTATGTCGATATCGGATGTTAACTGCAACTATACTGGAGTTGAACTAATTGTGGGCGGAGAAAACACACTGCAAGGGGAATTCCCGCATATGGTTAGTGTACTTCTCCGGTAGAATATTTATTAGTATAACCTTTCGTCCGCGACGCCATCTTGGAATTAACAACACAAAAGTAAAATAAAATAACATTTAAATATTGTGAATACTACAATACAAATAAAAATAATAAAAATCAAAGCAATTGAATACAAAATAATGAAAACCTAATTAGATTTACTTAAGGTAACAGTGGTAGAGCCCGCTTTAACATGTTAGCACTGCAGGGCACGCCCTCAGTAATACCACGACCACACAAGACAGGCGTCAAATGGAAGTTTAGCGGTATTTGAGGATGTAGTTTCACCGTGCGGTGAAATAAACCACTATATAATAATAAAACAGTTTATTGTTTCACGTACACGA